GGGCCACCAGAAACACCTCAAAAAGACCAGTCATGGCCACACATGATATAGACCGGGTCTCTTGTGTCCTCCAAGCGCTCGCGGCGACCTCGAGCCGCGCCCGTCTCCCGGAGTGATTAGGCCAGTGCCCGGAGTCCGACCGTCGACGAGTCCTGAGTCCGACCGTCGACCAGAAGCCCGGAGTCCTGCCGTTTTTTGTGCCCAAAAACAGATGCAAACTGATTCCACAACTGATTCCTTTCTGCAATTCCGTGATGTTGGCCTTGGCCAGTTTTCCAAGGTTCGGTGGTTTGGGGGTCCACTTGGGCGGGAGTGAAAGATGCTGGCCTTTGAAGCAACAAGACCTGGAGGTGTTGGTGATGCTTACTTTTTCAGGATGCTTCTTGGAAGTGAGTTAAGCCATCTACAATTATATAGAGCTACTGTACAGAGACTTTGGTGCCCCCCCGGCATGTGCAGGCATGTTTGTGTGATGGCGTGCAAAGGCCTGGTGGCATGTTCACTCGTTTTGCCGGGCAGCAATTGCACAACCAGCCATGCAAGCGAAATTGCAAAGTAGTTCTATACCACTTCCTGATGATGGCTTGGCTTGGACATGCTTGGAGACAATAAGATATACCATGGAAGAGGATAATATTGGACACCAATAATCTTGAATTGCAATGGTTTGGTGACTACCCCACAGAAGGTGGAGTCACAACCGGAGTCAACCAGACTTCCACCCGAGCCTGCAGAGGTGAAATTTGAACCTGAGCTGCAGGCGCACAGCACGAGGGCATGACCAGGGCAGTTTTGCTTTAGAGCTGGTGATTCCACCCATTTCTGGGCGGCCAGGTGGGTGCCCAGAGCCAAAATGGCCAAAACAGAAAGGAGTCATCAGTCAAAGCATGTCAGTCGGCGCATCCCCTGCGTGACCCACACGGCAGACTGATTCGGTTCGGGTCCTTTCTTTTTTGTCCTCCAGAGCCCTTCCATCAAACCCAAAATTTCAGCGCACGTGCCCTCAATGAGTCCTGGGCGACGAGCCTTTGAGGCGTGCGTGGCTCCCACAAGCCACTCTCATCTCCCGCACGACGCCAGGTCATGGCCGAGCGGTTTGACAGAATGACACTTGGTTGGAGTAGTTGGGCTTGCTGGGTCATACTTGGCGTTCCCAATCATGTGCTCCAAGTGAAGCCTACAGCACTTGCCCCTGGAATTCGGTCCTAGCCATTCATCCGCAAACAGAAAAGCATCAAAAGTGTGAACCTCAGTTGAGGTCCATCCCTTCCAAGGTCTACATAATTCCTTTTAGGGTGACTGGGTGAGTGATGACATCGTTGCCAAGCCCTTGAATCAGCGCCCTTCAGCGAATTATTTTTCGGAGTGAACACCAAGGAGCGAAGAGAATGAACATGGCTCGCGCAGGCGACAGTCGCCAGACACCGGGAAGCGCTCACAAGTGCAACCGAGCGCGACGAAGAGGGGCCATGCGAAGGTTTGCAGGTAGCTCCCACGTCCTTGAACAGCATACAACCATTTATATATATATATACACACCCTCACAAACCAAAGCATCGTGTGGCCCAAGCATTTTTGAAACACGGTCGTGACTTGATGGTTTTGTGTTCTTTGGTATTTTGTGCTGTGGGTGTAAGCCATACATGTGCATTTTTGAGGGCCTCTATGAAAAGAGCTGCATTGGTGATACTGGTGGAGTCAGCGCAGAGTGTCATTGAGAGGCCTTGCAAGGAGCCGCTTTTGAGAACCCAGCTCGTACACTTCTTAGAGGACGTTTTTTCCCTCGCAGAAACCCTCTTGGAAGATCTTGGAAGCTATTTGGTTTGCCTTCTCAGAAGTCTTGCCAAGTGCTTCGCAGAGACAAATAACTTCTTAGAAGCTCTCTGGCGACGCCATCCATGTGCCGACTCCTTTGTTTCGCCTTCAACTGACCAATGTGGTCAGGCTGTCAACGCAATCTTGCCAGCTCACGCGACACCTGCGAGTGCCAACGCCGCAGCCTCAGAGCCCGCTTTTCTTCACTTTGAGATGTTTGTGACTCCTACTACGCGCTTGGAGGCTGAAATTGCCAGTTGTGCTATGTTGCGCTTGGGTTTTGCACCTGAAATCAGTTCAGAACACAGAGCTCGTGCGTCGACCTCATGTCTCAAGATATCTCAAGCATTCATTCGCTTGCGTCACTCGCACGTCCTTTTGAGCTAAATTGGCTAAATGTCTTCCCACCTCCAGATCAACTCTTCCGAAAATGTTTCCCTCGAAGGAATCCACCCAAGACTCACCCGCGCCGTGCGTCCAGATGACGCGAGGCCCGAAGGTCCAAGCCTGTCCGGCCGCTCGATGTCCACGCAGAATCCGCGTACTCCCAGTCCGAGTACCGCACGGGTCGAGTGCGGGAACCTGGGAGTGCGGGGGGGGTTTTCCTTCGGGGGGCTTCCGGAGGAAGTGCACGCCACCGGTGTTGAACTTTCTGTTGGACTTTAGCGCTGTATGTTGTTGTAATATGTTGCAATATATTTGTATGTAAATATATATGTATGTTTAAGTTTTGCTACATGTACTCCTCCTCCCACCGCCTTCACTCACACCAACTGACTCATACCAACTTAGTTGCTGCCGCTTCTACATTGCTTTTTGCTGCTATCAACGGTGGGGTTTGCTCTTGCTGCGGGGGGGGAGCTGGTCTCCCAACTCAATTCACACCAACTCCACTCGCACCAACTTCGCTCACACCAATCCTAACCCACCTCGCCCAACTCAACTCACAGCTTGACACCCATGTAAGACAGGGCTCACACTGGTCACCAACTCAACTCACATCAGCTCTACACACAAACCTTTTGCTGGCGAACCCAAAGACTGTTGATCTCAAAAGATTGAACATGCTTTCCCGGGATTGAAGCTGTTGGTTGCCTAAAAACTGCTTTACCGCGCAACACACCAATGCGTTTCGGGCTTTTAGCTTTGTCGGAAACCAATATATGATGATTACTAATATGTATATTTATAACTTTTAAGTCAGCCCTTGCAGTTGATCCATATGCATAATATCATTTAATATCCTGTTCATCCATCATTAGCATATATTAGCATCATTGATCGTCATTTACTCCTTTGCTGTGTGCTTTCTTGTTGTGCTTCTTTGCTTTTTGACATGTAGCATTATCCGGTTCTTTAATTATTGTCATCACTGGGGAGATCCGCATGTCTTAACTGTTGGAACAACATGTGGCTGGAGCTTCCCGACACCTCTTGCAAAATTGAATTCCTGGATATCTTAGTGGCTCCCACTTGAGTCAAGAAGCTACTGACACGCTAGGTGGCGGTCAACCCCTGAAGACGACATGCTGAACCTCATCGGTCTCATCGCGTAGTTAATGATTTGCAAATGTCCTTTCTGCTGTGTGTGTGTGTGTCACACCCTGTTTCTAAGGGTTTTGCAACGTTTGTCCAACTTTTCAAGCCAGCAGGGGGTCGGTGGGGATTTGTGCAGTCAGCGACCAACGAAGACACTGCACGTTTCCTGTGATATGAGTTGAGGACGCTCGACTCACGTACC